TAAATCTCTCAGCCTGTGACCACGTGCGGACTAATTAGGGGGAAGGGGTGTCCGGGATAATTGTTTTCCACCTTAGAGCAAATTTGTCAAAAAGACCCCTATTTAAAAAAAAAGAAGGAAAAAAAAGTACAACACCAATGTATCCAATTTTTATAAAAGATATACATGTTTTTTAATTAAAATTAATAAAAAGAAAGTACAGTGGTCCCTCAGTTAACCGAAAATTTTGTTAACCGAAGCCATTGTTTCAATGGGATTTTGGGTAATTGGTTCCAGCTCACCGAAAAGTACATACAAAGTAAAAAAAAAAAAATGCAGTAAAGTACACTTACTTCGAGGTGCTTGATACCGTCATTTCACCAATAAAATTTTAATTTCACAGGTGTAATTCAAGATTATTTTCTTTAAATCAACACTGCACTGCATTATATATTGTCAATATGTTAAATAAATTTCAGAATGACCAATAATTGTACTGTAAAAACGTAAAAATACTGTGTTCAAGAGACCCACAAGCAAGATGTTTCCTCCACTGAACAGACACAAACTGACTCCTTGGTGGGTGAGTGAAGTGGCTGATGGGCGCACCAAAAACTAGTTCCCTGTACTACAATTATGTTAAATAAGTGTTAAAATTACTAAAAAAAATTAATATAAAACTTGGAAAATTATTGAATAGTACAACCTTCTTGATATTTACTCCAATTTTAACGAATATAAGCCCTAGAACCGATTTCCGTATTGGCGGACTAATCTTCCAGCTGGTGAGCAAGCCAAAACATGTTGAAACATTTTCGTAAGAATTTCGTTAACCGAATTTTTTTTCGTTAACCGAAATGAAGATTCTTATGGAAGGTAATTCGTTAACTGAAATTTCGTTAACCGAGGCGTTCGTTAACTGAGGGACCACTGTACTGTAATGTTCACAAAGCTGGACATGCCTCTGACACAAGAGGCTTGTTGTCACTCTGAGTCTGACTCAGAAATGAGGATATGAAGAGGATCCTCCTCTGATGGTGAGGGCAAGGAGGCACTGCTGGAGGGTCTTGGTTCAAAAAAAGTGTCAATCTTTGTTTGAGTGACCTTGCTTCTTTGGTCCTGTATGACAAGTTCCTTCAAGTGCCTTAAGTGATTGTAATAGGCCCCATTTTTTTTTTTTCATTTTTAATCTGATAAGTAAATTTTATGAGGGTGTCCAGGCAGTCCCTAGCTTCTGCCAGCATTATTTTTGGTGGTACATCTTCCTCCTCCTCCTCCTCCTCATCATCATCATCATCATCAAAATCGTCTGCAGCCCTCATGTACATGGTCCACAATCTCCTCCTCTATCAAGTGTGGTATCCAGGATCAGCCTCCAGCCAAGCCTCCACATCCTCAACTGTAGCATCCGTCTCTCCTGCTCGGAGAAGGGTTCCTTGGCAGTCTTCTGATATGAAGCCCTCAAAATCAATGTCATAAAGGAGCTTCTTCCAAGCATTGATGAAGGTTGTTGCCTTGACTTCTTTGGCAGAAGCAGCAATATTAGAGAGCTTGGACACAAAGTTGTATAGCTAAGTTTCTGAGGGTTGTCTGCCTTCTTGTGTCCTCTCCCTGATCCTCGCTTGTCTCTTCCACCACCATCACCTCATCCAAAACTTTGCATTTGTACAGCCTTTTTGCAGCATAAATAACACCTTGATCCATTGGCTGTATGACAGAGGTGGTGTTGGGTGGCAGTGCCTGGCACCTGATCCTTCCATCCCTGCTACACAGTATTTCAAAGTTGAGATGTGTGGGAGCATTAATTAAGAGGATGACAGCCTTCGTTTCATCAGCAGGGATTTTCAGATCTTCCACCTGCTTATGCCAGATCTTCACCACAGCATGTTTGAAAAACCAGTCTGAGGTTAGGGCTCCTGTAAACCATGCATTCTTGGAATTATAGTAGTGGACAAGAAGCCTGTGCATAATGTCCTTGATTGCATGAGGATTCTTGCTCTTTCCTACAACCAAAGATGTAAGCATATGGCTCCCATCAGCATTTGCACACAGCAATGCAGACACTCATTCTTTGGAAGTTTCCTACCAGGAACACTTTTTTTGCTTCTGGAGGCTTACATATTTTCTGGTAAAGCTCTCCAGAAGAGTTGTTTCATCTGCTTTGTACAGTTGGCATAATCTAAGGTTTTTGGCTTCCATTTAGTCCTTCAACTTTTTCCTAAATGGCTCCACAGCATCAACATTAGCATGGAGCCTCTCGCCACATATTTTCTTATCCATAATATTGTGGCACTTTCAACATCTAAATAGCCAACCAGCACTAGCAGAAAATCCTTTACATTCATATGTTTTGCTAACCTTTCAGCAGCTGCCTGGATTTCCACACCTCTGGCTGCTATTCCATTTGCACATTGCTGTACGTACCATTTATGTGTTGCTCTTCCAAGTCGTCAATCTCTTAATGCCCGATTTTTCCTGATCCACATTAAATTTCAAGGCTTATTTGTTCAACTTGTCTTTCGATTTTCGTATATCAAACACCGACTGCTTTGAAAGTCCGTATTCAGCGCATATTTGCGAGGGAGTAGCATCTACAATAATCTACCCAAATCTACTCCAAATACTGTATGCTGTGTTTAGGTAAATTAACGAGTGTAGGAACATATCTCCATTTATATAATGGTTTAATGACCCCTTTTAGCGGTTAAAGGGGCATTGTGCTATCCGCGACGATTTCTGGTCCCTATCCTTTGTGAATAACGAGGACCTGGTGTGCTTGCAGGTGTAATGCATATTGATCAGTGTATCCAAAGTGTACATGATGCATCCTTGTGATGTAGGGAAGATCAAATGAAGTGCAAAGATTCTCATTCTGTATGACATTCATTGCTTTAACATTGGGATATGCCTTTGATTTTCAGATACTCTCCGTGTGCAAAGAATGTTGTACTAAGGGGTCGCCTATTGTGGGCGTTGCTCTCTGTGACTTAGTTGAAGCTCTTGGACACTGTCACTTCACTCAGTCCCTTGAGCACAGCAGTATCCTCAGCCTTATCTCAGGTAAGAATTATAACCTTGTCTTGTATTTTCATTACTTTACATCCATATTGTTATCCATTTTTATATGAAAAAAATATATATACTGTATTTTAGTTTCTCTTGTTAAGTGACAAAAGAACCAGCTATGAAAAATGTATCCTCATCTTTTAAGTTATGAATGCAAGTTGTTGGTAATATTGAATGATTTTGAGTGTACACATGCAAGAATATCATATGAAGACAACAGGCAGGGATTGTTTTATTTGATCAACTGGAGGATTCTAATTTCCCATCTTTTTTTCTTTCTATTTTTATCAAGTTGACACATTTTTCTTATTTTTATCAGGTATCGCTTAATATGGCTAAGATTTGCTCAAACACAGATTGAGTCAGGCTAACACAGGAAAATTTGGCAAAACGTAGTCAGTTAGAAAAGGTTTTGCGTGGTGGGACCAGAGAATATGAAAAGAACAACACTTGCTCACTAAATACTGTACATTGGTTTAATCAGATTTGCTGTAGGCCTAAAAAGGCCTACTGAATATCTAAACAGGCTGAGGGGGTGGACAAGGCATTGCCACATTTGCCGTGTTTATTTATGGATTAAGTATTATACTGTATTCGTGTATGATCAGCCTCTTATGGTGTGTGATGCATCATGATTAACATAACATCTTCAATAATAGAAAAAATATAATACAGTATACAATTTGTAATTTAACTTGAATATAAAAGGATACTGTACTGTAAGCTGTATCTGAAGGTATTGACTCAAGATGCATTCCTGGAGTGAGAACTTTCAACAAATAAATTTACAACAGAGTTACTATAACATATTGTATAGTATTTGATATGAAGATACCCTTCTAACCGTTATTTTTTATCTTTGAGTGATACTGTATATGGTGGTTCAATTGGCTAGTTGTACACTTAGACAACTGATTAATGAATAATTCAGGGAATATGCAGACTCATAATAGGTGTTCACTGCAATATTATTTGTTAAGTGCTAATACACTACAGTGATATTAATTAATATGAAAATTATGGTGAAATTGCATAAAGAGGTGTTAAAGGGATCCTGGGGGAGGGAGCCATCCACCCACGCTACCCCCTCCCTCCCCCGCCTGCTGCTCCTGGATCACTCTTATCTCCTACACATAATATACCCCTAGACTCTTATTTTTTATCTTTATAGTACTGTACAGTATAAAGTTTTCTCTTTATACAGAAGGTAAATTCTGTGGTTACTTACATATAACACCTTACAGTACATTACGATCATACAGTATAAGTAAAAACAGTTGTCCCACAACCAGACTTAGTCTAATTTTCAACCCAGAGAGTTCTCTCATATTTTTTTATTGTTGATGTAATTATGTTTTACTAACCTTGTTTTGTGCTTAAAGACCTTAGTTGCTGCTTGCAATGCAGTAATAACATTATAACAACAACTGATTTTCTTGAAACAGCCCTGCCCCATCAATTCACGATTTTTTTTCTTCAGACTTCCACATTTTCTGGACTGGGTTCTGTCCCAATTAGTCTGGTGTATCAAAGTACTGTATTGTACTACTGTATTCATTAATAATAGTTGGTGTTTGTACCCACTGGATATACTATCATATTGCAGTGTTCTCATTCTTTATCATTGTATAGGGTATGTGTTCCATTTAAACCTTTTTTATTAGAAGAATGATCTACAAACATTTAGCTTTAAAATTATAGTACTGTATACTAAAAAATTTTACATACGTGCATTTTGTATGGTGCTATAGTAATTTAGATTTGCACAAACTTTAGTCGTGTACAGGATGAATTCGGTGTCCCTTTAATGAATGGATCCTTAACAGAAATGACTTCCACTGAGTGTTGTGTTTTCAGATGTGATATCACAAGTGTTGAAAAGTTCAAACCCTCTAGTTCAACAATGTGCCCTTGATGCATTTGTTGCCTTTGGCCAGCACACAATCCATGAAGAAGTAAGTATTTGTTAACTAATTTGCTCACCACATTTCTGTAAATAATAGTTTTTTTTTACATTAATAATATTGTTTTAGGTACCAATATCTCATATTAAACTCTTTCTTCTCTTTATAATAAAGAAAATTCATTTGACAGGATCGAACAGGACTTATGCACATCTATCTTGATCACTACCACGAAAGTCTAAGATGAACAAATCATTCCAATTATCAGTAGTGTATAAATTTGTATTTAAATACAGTATCATATCTTAATATATCATATGCTTGTATTGAAAATAGTTGTTTACATAGACACTCCCTGGTTTACAGAAAGGTTCCATTCCTGGACCCTGTCTGTAAGCCAAATTTTCTGTAAACCAAAAATTACACTTCCATAAGGTAAATATGTACTGTACCCTGTACTGAATCACAGATGGCATCTCACAAGGGGATGCACTCAGCTGCTTTACGCATAATCCTCTGCAAATAGTGATGTTATGCCGTACTAGTTACCATCCATAATAACAAACTCTTGCATAACCCAAAAAGTTTTATAATGGGACTTACGGGAGGCATTTTGTATCCTTGAATTTCTGTAACCTGGGGAGTGTCTGTATTGTACAGTACTGTATTGTACAGTATACTGGACAATAATAAATAAAAAACAATAGAATACTGTATTTTAACTTACTTTAGGGTGTGTATGTTGTATTCCCAGCAGCTTTGTTTACATAGCAAGCAGCTGTATATTATCAATATGTTAACTAAATTTCAGAATAACCAATAATTTTAAAGTAAAATGCCAAAATATTCAAGAGACCAATAAACTCGTTGTTCACTCAACTGTAAACAAAGTTAAACTGAGAAGCGTTGGTGGATGATTCGATCAGCTGATGGGAGTACAAAAAATTTTTCCTGTACTGTATATATTATCAATATGTTAACTAAATTTCAGAATGACCAATAATTTTAATATAAAAAATGCAAAAATATTCAAGAGCACAACTTTCTTGATATTTACTCCACTGGAAACAAATGTAAACATAGAACCGATTACTGTACTGTTTTGGCGAACGAGCCGATCAGCTGATGAGCACACCAAGGCATGTTTCTCGAAAGGCTGTTGTTAATAGAAGTTGTACTCGTTAATAGAACTGAAAATTCTGATGTGAGCTAATTCGTTAACCGAAATCTCGTAAATTGAACCGCTCGTTAATGGAGGGGCCACTGTACAGTAAAGCCTCGAATAACGACGTTAATATGGCCTCCAATATTGCAGTGTAAGGTGAATCGTCTTATTGCGAATCATTAATTACCATTAAAATAAAGCAATAATAATGAGATGAGTTCCCAAGTGTGAGCTTTTCATATCTTTTGTGTGGCTTTTTACCCTCTTTTCCCCAAAACAAAACAATACAATTAATGAAAATTGCAAACTATATTCTTTAAATAATGTTTCTTAATGCACCTTATACAATACCTGTATAAACTAATAATAATAATATGGTCACACAAGAGTAGATGGGACGCCATTGTTTTCGTTTGTGTTTACAACCAGGAGTCCGGGATGATAGTTCTACACGAGAAAATGGAGAAAATAAGACCCTGGTTATAGCTGTAGTAAAATTAATGTAAAAAAAGGAATATAAATGTTTTAAGTAACGATATTTAATGTTAATAAATGGAACAATAGAAGTAGCTAACCACTAATGGCAAAGAAAAAAAAAAGAAGAGATGGATTGGGAACGCCAACATATACGTGAGCATTTAAGGATACCACGCCATTTATCTTTTTAAGAAATGTACAATAGATTCATTATTGTTTATTACTGAATATGTATTTGATTGAATTAATCTTTATATATGGGAAATGAACAATACAATTCATTAATAATACGGAGAATATTAAAACACACAAGAGGATAAGAGACGGCATTGTTGTCAGTGTTTACACCCATAATGTCAGTTATCCACCTGAAACTTAAGAAAATAAGACCCTGGTTGTTGTTGTAGTAAAATTAATGTAAAAAAATTGAATGTTTTAATTAATGTTATTTAATGTACAGTCAGGGCCGGATTTACCTACTTGTGGGCCCCCAAATTTATAGAAATGTTTGCATGTTTCAATGACTGCATGACTGGCTGAGCGAGCTGTCAGCAAACCAACGGTCACCCTGACACGTACTGAACATGAAACGATCCTGTCCTTCACACGTCAAGACGCTGAAGGTTTCTTGAACTTTATTCTCTCTCTCTCTCTCTCTCCAGTATATATGTATGTATAGATAGATAGATCCATCGATGGTGGGACACGGACATTTAAAAAATGTATATACAGTAATACCCCGATTTACTTACGCGGTTTCGCTTTACGCGATTCTACCATTTACGCTGTACCTCGCCAGAACCGGAATTTCATTTTACGCGGTGCATCTACTCATATACGCGGGTGAAGTATACAGTCAACCCTCGCTTTACGCGTTTCCACGTTTACGCGGTACCCTGCCGAACACGGAATGCTCACTTTCCGCGGTGTGTGTACCCTTTTACGCGGAGAGCGGCGTGAGCAGGGTGCGCACAAGGTCGCCCAGTCATCAAAACATTACCGAGTTCTTCACCCGCCACCCACCACAGCCGGCCCAAGTCAGTGATAGTGAGGATATGGACTTATATGGACTTTGAGGGGTTTGACAAAGAGGCCCTGCAAGCCTCTGTGGTGGATAGTGATACAATTGATACAGGTGAGGGCCAATAATCTGCCTCTGCCTCAGAACCAACCCCCCATCCCCGTGTGCATAGCATATCTTTTCTACTAATGTAAGTGTTAAAAAACCCTAATATTATTGATATTTCTCTTAATTATTAATTGTGTGTGCATACCATCATAAAATTAAGAAGTTATTTTTACTACAACGTAGGTATTGTGTCTGAAAAAGTAGAGTTTGGGGGTTGGCCCGGTCTCTATTTCAATTAATCCCATATGTTATGTTGTTCACTTTACGCGTTTCTTGCTTTACGCGGGCCGCCGTGGGTTCAATTGACCGCGTAAAGTGAGGGTTCACTGTAATTTTTTATTTAGCTCATAAATTTTATACAAATTACCCGGCCAGAATATAATTTACATTGCTGGAATTCTTACAATATGATGATCATTTTGAATATAAACATCATGGATTTTGCATTAGACATACAAATTTTAGATCTAATGTAATAATTTGGTTTACACAAAGCAAATATTTTTTCTTTGTGCAAAATAAATGAAGTTTACATTCAAAATACAGTATTCCCTGACCTGCAAGGAATCCAGAAATGTCAATTATATTATCCTAACGTTAGGCTGAGGTATTATTTAATACTAAAAATGTAAATATACTGTTTTCTCCCAAACATTTCTCTGGTAGGGAGGGAAGGTGGGGGGTAGGGAGGGAGGGAGGGACCCAGCGATCGTGGGAAGAGGAGGGGGGAGCCGGAGGTGGGGTATTTTGAATGACAGATAGTGTCTGGGTGAAGTATATTTTTTTTATTTAGTGAAGATATTTGTTTTAGCTCATAAAATTCATACAAATTACCCGGCCAGAATATAATTTACATTGCTGGAATTCTTACAATATGATGATCATTTTGAATACAAACATCATGGATTTTGCATTAAACATACAAATTTTAGATCTGATGTAATAATTTGGTTTACACAAAGAAAATATTTTATCTTTTGTGCAAAATATATGAAGTTTACATTCAAAATATTCCTTGACCTGCAAGGAATCCAGAAATGTCAATTATATTGTCCTAACTTTAGTCTGAGGTATTATTTATTACTATACCTTAAAATCTAGTGTTTTCACCCAAACATTTCTCAGAGAGAGAGAGAGAGAGAGAGAGAGAGAGAGAGAGAGAGAGAGAGAGAGAGAGAGAGAGAGAGAGAGAGAGAGAGAGAGAGAGAGAGAGAGAGAGAGAGAGAGAGAGAGAGAGAGAGAGAGAGAGAGAGAGAGAGAGAGAGAGAGAGAGAGAGAGAGAGAGAGAGAGAGAGAGAGAGAGAGAGAGAGAGAGAGAGAGAGAGAGAGAGAGAGAGAGAGAGAGAGAGAGAGAGAGAGAGAGAGAGAGAGAGAGAGAGAGAGAGAGAGAGAGAGAGAGAGAGAGAGAGAGAGAGAGAGAGAGAGAGAGAGAGAGAGAGAGAGAGAGAGAGAGAGAGAGAGAGAGAGAGAGAGAGAGAGAGAGAGAGAGAGAGAGAGAGGAGAGAGAGAGAGAGAGAGAGAGAGAGAGAGAGAGAGAGAGAGAGAGAGAGAGAGAGAGAGAGAGAGAGAGAGAGAGAGAGAGAGAGAGAGAGAGAGAGAGAGAGAGAGAGAGAGAGAGAGAGAGAGAGAGAGAGAGAGAGAGAGAGAGAGAGAGAGAGAGAGAGAGAGAGAGAGAGAGAGAGAGAGAGAGAGAGAGAGAGAGAGAGAGAGAGAGAGAGAGAGAGAGAGAGAGAGAGAGAGAGAGAGAGAGAGAGAGAGAGAGAGAGAGAGAGAGAGAGAGAGAGAGAGAGAGAGAGAGAGAGAGAGAGAGAGAGAGAGAGAGAGAGAGAGAGAGAGAGAGAGAGAGAGAGAGAGAGAGAGAGAGAGAGAGAGAGAGAGAGAGAGAGAGAGAGAGAGAGAGAGAGAGAGAGAGAGAGAGAGAGAGAGAGAGAGAGAGAGAGAGAGAGAGAGAGAGAGAGAGAGAGAGAGAGAGAGAGAGAGAGAGAGAGAGAGAGAGAGAGAGAGAGAGAGAGAGAGAGAGAGAGAGAGAGAGAGCATTATTTGAATGGACATTAACCTGGCGACTGTATTTCTCTTAAATATTATTTGTGTATGCATACCATCATAAAATTAAGATGTTATTTTTACCACAACATAGGTATTGTCGGAAAAAGTGGAGTTTGGAGGTAGGGCCAGTCTCTGTTGGAATTAATCCCATATGTTCTGTTATTCCATTTACGCGGTTTTCATTTTACGTGGTACCCCGTGGGTTCAATTGACCGCGTAAATCTGGGTATCACT